AATAAATATATCGAGATTTCGCATTTTGTAAAGCCTGAAAGAACGAAAATGTGTGCGTTATAAATACTGAAATGGTTAGCTGATTATTCGAAATTTCTCTTTGTTTGTGCTTTAAAAAGTTGCTTTGAGATATATATATAATGCTAAAAAAGACGGGATTTTCGATACTAATATTCTGACTAAAAACAATATATAAATGACATGCAAAGTAAATTTAATGTTAAAAATGAATTTTATAGGACGATTTACTTCCCAAACAAATTTTAGAGTAGTGGACTAAAGAGTCGTAAAGACACAGGGATATATACTGCGAATGCAATGAACTTGTAAGAAAGAAATCAGGTTTCGTTATAACTTACAAATTAAAACTTCTAAATTCGCAGATAATAGGGTTTTAACATTTCACTATTAAGTTTACATTCTCTATTGCTAGGCTTGTAATTTAGCTATAAAAAGTTCTGTGCATCTGTAATCAAAGAAAGAAATTGCTTTGAAATAGGTCGTTATATTACAGAGACAGGGAGAACAAGGTGAAAAACGTAATAGCTCGCAAAACTGCCGACAGGAGAAAATATGGCTTAATTTAACAAAAACATATGAGAAAGAAAAATATAAATAATTTGAGGCAAATATAAATGGACATGTTTAAACTTTATTCAATTTTTAAACTTGGTAATCAAAATTTAAGAAGCTGAAATATGTTGTATCCGGAAATGCTTCCATATTTCAGTTATTTCCAACATAATTTACGAATTTATAAAATGCCACGGAGCCTAAAATTTAGACATAGACGTTATATAAATGCAGTCTCCCAATAAGAATTTCTCTTGAATTTATGTTTGACATTTGTAAAAAAAAAAAAAAAAAAAAAAAAAAAAAAAAAAAAAACAGATATGAGTATTTAGACGCGCTGGCATTATGCTAATACGTTAAGGTCAGGTATAATTTTCGGTTAGGTATTAGATTTTGAAGACACCCAAGCCCAAATAACACAGTGTAAATCAAATGATATTGATGGCCATATCTCCAGCAAAACCCTTTATCAAATGTATTTTATTCAGCTACGTAATATTATAAAACAATTACCGAACTGTTAAACTGTGTTTAAGATTGATATCTCTTCTTCAAGGAATTTTTTTTCATCCAAATGTCATGTTTTGGGGAAAAATGAAGCTGGTACTGATAAAATTCCATTAACTGTCAACTTTCAAGATGTTATATGCAATGTTTAAAACCGATGGCTTAAAACTGAAGCATTTTGGTGAGTGCATCAGAGCTTAGTGTGTACAAATGGAGCTTCTGAAGTTCGTATTGGACAGTTTTGAGTATCAAATACTATTCTGAGGTTAAATTTACTTTATTTGCCTCACAGAAAAATATACCTAATTTGTGTTCAAGACGATCATTTCTTTGCAATTGTTATTGGTGGATAATTTTGTGAAGTAAAACCCATGTTTTACAATTACGAGAAATTCATTTCATGGAATATGAAAATATTCAATCGATGCGTTAAATTCTTCGACACCTGAGGCAAGATAAAACTTCCAATCCAATGATAAAAAAAATAATCCCAATCCATAAAATCTTTTGATTATTCATCAAACTCCAGCTAACAGTAAAATGTGTTTTCATAATGCTTAAGTATATACAATTTTATAATGCATTATTGCAGGCGTGTAGTCTAAATACATGTGAAATTCATGTCACACTGCATTCACAACTATAGAATAAAATTATAATGCACATACTATCAGGCGCAGAGAGAATTAACGATTTTTCTAATCTGTTTTCTGGATGAGTAGTTTTTATAAATACTAGGCTGACGAAAAAGGAATAAAACAAAACCTCCAAAGTTTAGAAACTTACCTGAATCATATTTGGTTCTCATCCCCTCTAAGTAGTCCTTTTTTTTTTTTTTTTTTTGAATTCATACAAGAGCCCGTCGTTTTCAATGTAATTGCTATCACTGTTAGTTTTGTTAACGATATTTATCAGGCGCTACGATTCAGTCTGCATGACAAATGCAATAACAGCTTTTTACTTCATATTTCAACCATATAACTGAACAAATTCTCAGGCTCTCATTCCTATCAAAAAGTCCTATGAGGAATCAAAATCAGCTGTTTCTTGGAAAATTCTTACTTCTTCTTTGCATTGGGGTATGATATGTTCCTCTTCCTTAAAAGCAAAATCGAGCGTAACTATTATTATTGGTTTCCAAGATATTTAAACGTATAATAGTAGATATTTATTGGGATATATATTACATGCATTTTAATTGTAGACCATTAACCAGCGCCTGAAATAATCTGCATATTAAGAAAGAGAGAACACATGGAGAGTTTCTAGAGTAAATTCAAGTAATTTCGAGTCGAAAATGATAATGCTTTTATGAGTACTAAGTATGAATTATAATATTATTCAAAATACACATTTCATAAGTCATAAACTTCTCTGAAAATTTTACTCTTTGTATGGACATTTGCTTAAAACTAAAATATAATCGAGTAACCTTTCTCGGAATACTTCAGTAAAATTATAAAAATGCTATATTACTTCACGAAATTCAAACGTTGTTAGAAGAGTATTTCTACAGTCGCTCAAGGCACAAAAGGTACCGACGCACTGGAATAGCGTTCATATTTTAATATTAAAAATAAATAAATTATCAGAAAGAAGGATTACAGGCAATTTTTTTTCAAATTCAGCCATTTTTTCATATGCTTTCCACAGCTCACTCGGTATGTAAAATAAGATATAGATTATAGTATATGCTCCTCGTAGTACAACTTTGAAAAGTTACAGCTATAGCTTTTTACGCCTACATACTTACTATGTTATTAACTAGCATTATCTTTTTAATTACGCCAAGGCTTTGATTACTGGATTTCTATTTAGGCGAGGTTAAGTAAAGTTACTGAAATGTGATAAAGCACACAAGAGCTATCTGACCGAAGAGAGCCTTCGTTAGGACTTAAACTCGCTGGTATTCATGTTACACAAAGTACACTGCTCGACAATGAAAATGCAACACCAAGAAGCAGTGGTCAGAAAGTGATGAAATTCGGAAAAAAGACAGAGACAGCAAGCATCAATAAGTGATCTTTATTTCAAAATGATAGTCAGAATACAGTAGGATGTCTATCTGTACAGTAGTACAGATAGTCGGCTCAGTAGGATGTAGGACCACCGCGGACAGCGATGCACGAAGAAACAGGTCTAGGCATAGGGTCAAAAAGACTGCGGATGGTGTCCTGGGGGGATGGCTCTCCATTCCTTTTTAACCATTTTCCACAGTTCGTCTTCTGTACGAGGCAGGGGCAGACTCAAACGGCGTCCAATCACATCCCACACATATTCGATTGGTGACAGGTCAGGAGAGTACGTGGCCAGGGGAAGCATCTGTATATCTTGGAGAGCATGTTGGCAGATGCGAGCACTGTGTGGTCGGGCGTTATCCTGCTGAAAAGTTGCATTAGGCAGCCCCTGAAGGTAGGGAATTGCTACCGGCCGCAGTACACTATCCAAGTATCGTTGGGCCGTCATAGTGCCTTGAATACGAACTAGAGGTGACCTGAAATCGTAGGCAATAGCGCCCCAAACCATTATGCCACGCTGTCGTGCGGTGGGGCATTCCACAGTTACTGCCGGATTAAATCTGTCTCCACGTCGACGCCACACATGTATGCGGCGACTGTCACAAGATAAACAGAAGCGTGACTCATCTAAGAACACGACGTTTCGCCATTCTATCATCCACATTGCTCCAGTTCGGTACCATTCTAAACATTGACGTGTATGCTGTGGGGTCAATGGCCGTCTTCTTAATGGACGCCGTGAGTGTAGGCCATGTTCAACCAATCGACGGGAAATGGTTCTGGTCGACACGGAACACCCAGGGTATCTTGGAAATGCTAGAGAATCGCGGTACAAGTGACTTGCGGGATCGCCACAGCTTGTAGGCGGATGCGTCGATCCACCCGTGCTGACATCACTCTGTCTGCACCTGCACCCCTCCTTCTTCCCACATTTCCCTGTTCAACAATGTTCTCCGTGCTCCATGCACCGTGCTCGCATCCATGTGAGTATCAGCTGCAATTTGACGTAAGGACCACCCCGCCCTTCTCAGTCTGATCCCATACCCCTCGTAAAATCGTCTATCTGGCTGGAAGTGCCTTCGTTGACGGCGGCCTGGCATTCTCTCCTATTACATGTAACCTCCGGGACAAAAACCAACTTTCTACGATAATTCGTCTGGCAGAAATAACGACACGAATATTGCCCATTCTGTACTTTCCATCCCTTATATCTCTCTTCACGTGCGTCGGAGAGCTGCGCATTTCACACCATTCGCATATCTCAGTGACGTACGTCTACTCTAAAATTTGCATAAATTTTCTGACCGCTCCTTCTTGGTGTTGCATTTTCAATGTCGAGCAGAGTAAAACCCCCAAAATCTCACTAATGCAGCCAACCCATTCACCTTGGATCGAACCTAGATGGAATACCAAGGTTTCAGCGGTCTTAACCACATGACTACTGGTAGGAAGCCACATACAGGCTCAATTTGAAATACAGCGTTGGTAGATTAAATACCGTTAGGATGATTTAAAAATTTTATTTCATTTTTCTGATTTATTTAAAAATAGATAACTATGTGTCTAAATTTTAAGAGAATTTATTACATAGAATATAGCTTTATAAAATGATTTCATTTAAATTTGGAATTTAACAATTTCTTTAAAATCTGAATGTTCTTAATTTAAAATCTTAATGCTCTTGTTCTTAATCTTAATGTTCTTAAATTTTAATATTCTTAATTTCTTTAAAATTAGAGTTCCTTGTTTCACAAGATTAATACTTTCCAGAGAAATGTCTTTTAAGATTCGTAAACTGGCAATAGAAAACGTTTCTCATTCAACAGAAGTACTAATGCAAAGAACTACAAATTGAAAAATTGAAAAAAAAAAAAAAAAAAAAAAAAAAAAAAAAAAAGGCATAATTGATGGTTATCTTTATTATTAGTTAAAGCAATAACTAGTTCATAAGCCTCACTATTATGATATATATAAACACAATTTTAATGATACTGAATAAAAGTTCACAACAAGAAGAGACAGTGGATAGTACTAATTATAATGCAAGACTTAATTTTCATCTACAATGATTTCAGGCTTTGCGTAAGTCATTATTGCATAGTACCTGTCTTATTTTAATCTATTACTACTCTAGATTCTCTATTCTAGAAGCAGTTAGTAAGTACTTTCAGAAACGTGTTGCAAATCGTTCGAACATCATTCTGGGCAGCTTTTTAAATGCATCCCTGTAATCTTTTCGTAAAATTGCATATATAAATGGATTTGTACCAGAAGCAATGAAAATAAAAATCGTTGCCAAATAATTAAGCCAAGGAGGCATATCATAACCAAAACACACTTTCACTTCCTTTGACAAAGCATATGGACTAAAACAGATGTAATACGTTACAACTACAAACACCATGCTTTTGGAGGTTTTGTTCATGTGAGCTTCTCCTTGCGTTATTCCTGGTTTCTCCAAAGAATTGTTGTTTCGCCTCACGAATAACGGCTTTATAGATTTTCCCGATTTATTTGCTGCCAGGATAATAAGAACATTGCATATACTTATTATAATAGCCGGAACATAATAACAAAAGAAGCAACCGATATTGAATACGTTAAAAACAGCTATGTTTCTAGTATAATCCATGGCGCATACACCTTCAGTGTAATCATAATGCGACCAGTAAGGCAAACCACAAGCTAAACCTATAGCAAAGCTCTGGAAGAATATGAGGCAACATCCGCCAATCATGACTTTTGTGGTCATCATTGTTCGGTATTTGAAGGGATGCAGCACGGCTATTGCTCTATCGAAGCTTATGAGAGCCAGATTAAAAGACGATGAGCAAGCAAAGGTGTAGTTGAAGCCTGCGTGCATTTTACAAGCTATCCAACCAAGTGGCCAGTAGTCAATCGCTACAGCGATAGCCGACGGAAACATCACCAAAATGGCAGTCAAAATGTCTATGATGGATAAGTATACAACAAGGAGGTTGCCTGTTTGAACTCGAAGAGTTTCACTCCAGAATGATGCTGTTACTACTGCTGTGTTGCCCAAGATTGATGTCAGAGCTATGACGATAGTGATGAAGCTACCAATAATATTAGATGAGAAAGTCCTGCGATACGGTGTCTTGAAGGTGAAGTTACTAAGAATGGTGTCATTGACCAAATAGTCTTCAAAGCCCAGCGTTATGTTCTCGGTATCCATTGACCTACAATAAATTAACAGGAAGGGTTATAAGCTACATTTAAAACTGATCACTTTTGGAGACAAGAATTAAACATTTAAAGATAAATTTTATAAATAAGTTTTGCTAGAAGGAAAATGAACCGCCTGAAGCAATAATGAAGAGTTGCCTTTGTTAAGAGTTTAAAATAATAGAATAAAGTGTCATGCTCATTTTTTGAGGGCAGTTCCAGTTTTTCAAGCGGAGCATGTCATCGAATTTTCGTTTTCCCAAATATCAATATACCTTATAGTTAACGTTACGTGTATTTCAGTAATCTTTAGTAGATTAGCATGTGCAATGCTGATAATTTTAATAAATAACTATATAATTAGTACAATTAATATAGTACACTTCTAGGGTCTTACACAGTGACATAGCTTGGGTTTCAGCTGGCCGTGGCGTAGGCCAAGTTCATCATCCCCTAATTGAAACAAACGAAAAATTAATCCTCATTGTCCATCAGTGATCTTATTTACAATTTAAACTAGGGCTTCCTAAATTACGTAACTATTGAAGAATTTATGGGTTTAAATTACGTAATTACGTAACTGACCTGTTATTTTTTTATAAAACAATGAATGTGTATTTGTCAGATTATAATATTCAGTATTCGAATATACTATACATTGAACTACCACTATATTCTAATCTAATTAGTACAGGTACTATTTTGCTGTGAAATTAACCGTAGTATAAAGTAATACTCACATGGCTGTATGTATACCAAGAGTCGAACATATATGCAATCGATTATTTATAGAATAGATAGAATATAATTCTATTTATTGAATAGTCTTTATAGAATTTTACGAAGAGGTGCAATAATTCAACACGCGCTTACAACAACTGATAACAACAAATCGTGAATTGGACGACTGATGTTTCAGGTGTTAGCAGACAACACTGAACTCTATTCTTTATATGAAAGAATTAAATCTCGCTGAATATTCATCGAGGACAATCCGACTACAAAATAAATCACAGGGAATTACCGCAAGGCAACTGGTTGTGTAGATGGTGTTAACTAATCGCTAGAGGGACCGAGATGACTAAACTCACTTAAAGGGGATTCGCGAGTTTCGTCAGAGTTTAAATAATAAAAAGCTCCGTCTCCATTTCAGTAGGTCAGAATTGTAGATGCGATAAAAATATGAAAATAAATAGTTTAAATTTTTAGTTCAGATTATAAAATATTACTATCATTATTTATTGTGAAATTTTGCTACCCCCGACACGTTACTCCCCGGAGAGGAGGTGGGAATGTTCTTCTATGCATATCGTTCTATTGGGATGATAATTTCAAATGCTGTTTCGTTCATACCTCAAAATCTGTTCAAACTATTTGTATGATAATAAGGCAGCTTCGTCTTTGATCTAATGTAGAATGTTTTCTAAGTGGCATGGAAACTGATTTCGTAGATCGCATGTATGCATTTAGCTCTAAATATGGATATGTCATGAAACATGCTACAGTAGAATATAAATGTTATGTCGCGAATTTAAATTATTAATATGTGTTTTATTTATTATTATTCTAATATTTTTATTTGTATTCATGTGTATTTTAATCTGGAAAAAATATTCTTAAATTGTTAAAGCCTTATTTAACTGGTAGTTCTTGAAAGCGTAGTGTAACAACGACAGGAAGCGGTTGCAAGAGCCATCTGGTTTATGGCCTTTTTACTAACAGTGGAGGCAGTAGGGTGTTGTGTTGTCGCCTTTTTCTAATGGCGTGTGAAACGAAAATCGTCTTCCTTTCGCTTTGTTATAGTTTCAATTTTGTTACTTCAAGACAGTGGGGATGGCTGGTAATTGGATTCTATTAAAGCTTAGTTCCGCTTGTTAGTTGAGGGGTCCACTTTTTCTCACGTTATGTGTACAGATGTTTTTCGGACTGCACTGTCAGATTTTCTGGAGTTTGATTCGTCATGGGTGTGTCATTTTCTCAGTTTAGACAACGTAAAATTCTGGCATTGGTGTGATTTTAATTTTATGATTCTTGAAAGCCTATTATGAACTCACAGAGTCGGAGAAACTGAGATTTCCTGGGTGCTTGCACCAGGCTAGAGTTCTTTATTCCTGATTCAAGCTAGGAGTAAGAAGAGAAAGAGTGGTTTAAGCTAGGAGTAAGAAGAGAAGAGAAGCTTGAACCCTTCCGGGTCTTGCTCTCGCGTGTACCAGCGGGCTGCGGCTACGGATTCCCGGCTTTGATCAGATGAGAAATTACATTTAAAAAAAGGGGTGCTAGAACTCATCGCAAAAATTTATAGCATCGTCGTTTCTCCATTGTAAATTGTAAATAGGTATTCTCAGGGTGATGCAGATACCAGTGGGTTTGTTGTTTATCCTGCTTAGTGCATTTCCAGTTTGGGTCCTTTCAACACGTTTTTTCCTGGTTTATTGAAGTGTTCCTGATAAAGACTGTTCCGGATTTAAAAGAAGCATCCCGATACCTGTGTCTTCCTTGGGTCTTGAATCTGTTGAAGCGTTAGCGTTCCTGTTTAAGAGTGTTCCTGATTTAAAAAAAAAGAGCTGCCTGATACCACTATTTTTCTGGGGTTTTGACGTGACTGAATTGTTCCTGAATGTAGTGTGTACCATTGATCTGCATCTGGCAAGCAGCACGATTTGGGTTTTGTGGATTTCTTCGAATGGTCAACGAAATGAGTAGGACGATCTGTTGAACTATTTAAAACGCCGTACTTATCCGTCGATGATGGCACACGCGAGAAAATAGGAGTTTGATCTATGAACTTCACACTGTGAGTGATTTTTTTTCCGTCTTTTGTTTTTAAATTGTAACCGAGTAATGATACTATATTAATATACGTGTAAACGAAGTGAATAGAATTAATATGTTAATTTTGGAATGAGATATGTGTTATTTTTCATCTTAAGGTATATTAATTTTTGTAAGCTGTAAAAGCGTGTGACATTATGTGTTACTTTTCATAGTAAAATAATTAGTAGGATTACTGATCAGTTATACATTATTTAGTAACATAATAATATTCAAGAAATTAATAAATGTGTTTGATATATATTCTATGTTTCATTTGTTTAATTTAGGGTATAAGTTACTTGGTCTGTCATGTCCCTCCATTTGTTTGAGCCGGGAGGCTTTTAAGAAACATGAAGTTTAATTGAATTTGGGGTTATTGATATTTCCTTTTGCATAGGTTACTCACAACGCGAACCTAAAAGTTAAATTGTACTACCACTATACGAATGTTTATAAGAATGTCGATATTATATATGAATATTATGAATTAGATTTGAAATGAATATATTTTCTTTTTGAGTATTTTGTCCGGCACCACGAGTCAAAGTTTAAAGTTTTAAAAAGTATTAAAAACTAATAATTTTCAGATATTCAACAATACTAATTAAAACACTAAATTTTTCATATTTAAGATAAATTACAAAATTTTATCCATCACCATTTAGAGCGAGAGACATAGAAATTTGTTTCATTGTGACTAGTATATAAGGACATTTCAAGCAAAGATGTTCGCATTCATGTTACACATGAGAAAAACTACAAAAACTCCCTTCCAGATCAGAGTTAGAGCTCGGGTTGAACTACCAGTGTCCGTCGACTTTACCATTTAGTTGACCATTAGTTGGTTTCATATGTTTATCCTAAATATTTTAAAATTGAAAAGTTCTATTTTTTTATTTGGAAAGAATGTTTGAAATATTTTATCAATCAGCTCTAAATGAAATCCTACAAGATAATCCCAATAATCGTCTACATATTAGTGATTCTGTCTATCTAAAATTTCTACAAAAATGAGGAAAGGCATAAGTGCCGTTTGTATTGCATCCTCCATGCCAACTATTATGTCCGGAAAATTAACAAAAGACATAATTTTATAAAGTTGAAAAAATGAGTCATATTATTTTCGTAAAAACTGGTTACAGGAAACTAGACTTCTTCAGAATTTCATATGAATTAGAAATAAATTGAATGTAGCCAACTATGAGTTCCTACAGTGAGTAATATTTTTCTTTTCCAGTAATTGCTTAAGAAAATCCCTTTCTAATTCAAATTTGCTCGCATTTATGCTATACATGTGGAAAATCAAGAAATTGTCTATGCAGCCAGACTGTGTAGTAGGATTCAACCTAGCTCGAATTATCGATCTCATCCGCCCGGTTGCTGGCGGACTTATGTGGTGGTAGTAGTTTTCCTGGCCCCAAATCTTAATGATTATATGCGCCGAAACACGCGTCAAATATTCCTAAATATAAACAGACAAGATAAAACCACAATAGCATAAAATACAATGATGCAAATGATATACAATGATACAATGCTTAAAATAAACAACTACACACACCTCATATAATTATCACAGGTACAAAACAACAAAGCCATGAAACATAAGTTATATTAAAATACATGCTATTAAAGACAGGACATCAAACTCAAATTGAATTAAATAATAAATACCTGTCTTTTTCAGGTAAAGGAACAAATTTGGATTGATCTATTTCCCAATTATATGCTCCAGAGGCAAGTCACATTTCTTAAAATGTTTCGAACGAAGATTTTTAAAATACGGACACTCTATTAAAAATGGCTAACTGACACTACCGAATAACAGTTTGGGCATACCGGTTCACTCTCAGCTTTTAATAGATAACTGTGTGTTATATACGAGTGACCATTTCTCAGACGGGTTAACAAAACTTCCTCCTTCAGGTTCTTAGTGGGCTCCCAACATTCAATTTTGGGTTTACTTTTCTCATATTATTTTCTGGCTGGACATCCCAGAGTTGCTGCCATTTAATCAAGAATCTGTACTTGATGAATTTACGGATAGCTTTGAAATAAATGAAAGTGGATAATAAGTTGATGACTTTACGGATTGCTTTGAAATAAATGAAAGTGAATAATAAGTTGATGATTTTACGGATAGCTTTGAAATAAATGAAAGTGGATAATAAGTGCATTTGATTCTGAGGTGAAGACGGAG